CTAATTGGTCCAAAGTTTAGATGATCTTCAAAAAATCACACTCAAACATCACCTAATGAGTCAAATCGGCCCATATGTTAAGTATGATCGTTGCATCGATATTAATCGTATTTGAGATTATCAAATTACTGTTACGTATTTAATGTTCAATTACCTCGTACAATTCGTCATTCTCTATTAAAAAATCTTATTTATTTTTCCAATTTTCATTTACGATTGGTAAATAAGATTTGAAATCTGCAAAATGGGTTAAAATACCAGTTGAGTGTAGGCATCAAGAAGGAAAATACAGGGCCTTTGAGTTTGGACGTTATTTTCGAAATGGAATCGAAGTTGAGAAGGACAAATACAATTCATTTATTTATTATAAAGAACTAACAAAAAGGTAATTCTTAATTGTTATAGTGTTGAAAGGTCTACTAGTAATGATCACGATCTCAAAGCATTCGAAGTTGAATGCTGCTAATATAGGTCATGCCTGTGGAGCATATAAAATTGATGCATACTATGTAAGGGGAATTTGAGTTGAAAAAGTTGAACACAAAGTTTCAAGCATCATCAAAAATCTGCAAAGATGTGTCATGCATTTGAAAACATATCAGATATAGCGTTGTGTTGGATTTTGTTATCATTATGGAATCGGAGTTAACAAGAATATACTCAAGGCGTTCAAAAATTGGTTAAGGTGAGAATCCTGAAGAAATATTTGAACTTGAAAACTGTTTTAAAATGGATAAAGATAGAATCAGAGTTAAAACAAAAGTAAGGCATTTGAATATTTAAGAAAGCCTTTATCATTTGGCATGTTAGCGAAACAAGCAATTTTAATTATTGTACCAATACTGAATCAGAATTGAAAAGATGAATATAAGGCCTTAATGCACTATAAAATCTGATGATGATGTTGGTTACGCAAGTCTCTAATGTTTATAGCTTGGTGTTATCATAACCTAACGCTAACTATCGACCGGACAAATGTCATTGATGGACATAAATTTGATAATGATAATAAGACTAATAATAAATCTTATTATTCTCTAGAGCATTAGTAAAGTTAGTTGAATATATTCACAGTTGATGCTGACTAGTCGTTTGTAACCAGTTGCTATTAAACTGGTTAATCATTTACAACGGTGTGGAAATATCAATTTCTTAATTTATTACAAAGTTTTATTAAGAGAACTGTATTTTTTAACTATGTAAATTAATCATAAATTAGTTATACTTAAAAAATTTTTTATTTTTCCTTCTTTGTAGCATAATAAATTTGAATTTTCCTTTAAAATAAACAATGAATAAATTGCTTATAAACTATATAATTCCAATTATTTCAATGAATTTTGCTATATGAAGTCGATTGAATTATCATTTGATTATCGAAGTCGCAAGTTGTTTCAGTTAACAAGTTATCAAGGTCATTTAAAATTCTAACTAACTTTGGACGTTTTTCTTGTTCTGAAGACCAACAACTTGTGTAAAGATCCACATATTTTTGTGGTGTACCAAGAATCATCTTCTCCCGATCACCGAGAAAAATTTTTATAGAAATGGCATATTTATTCATTATATCAGAAAAAGGGGGTGTCCCACTTGTAAGTTCCCACATCAACACCCCTAGACTATAAATATCAGATCGCTCATCAAGTTTACCATTTTTTCCATATTGAATAAAACACTGTGGCTCGACATATGCAACCATATCGTTTGATATTCCAAAATCAGCAATTAAGGGTTTACCATGGTTCATTAAAATATTTTTAGAGTGCTAGTAAGGTATTAAATCAAATGAATTAGAGTTTTAGTAAAAATAATCTAAGTTTAATAAAAGGTTCATACTAGATTTTCATGGATAATTCCTTTTTCATGCAAGTGCTTTAATCCAAGGCTTATTTCTTTTGCGATTTGAATGGTTTCATTCCATGAACTTTTAAAAACACCATCTTGTCGTTTACTTTGTAAATAATCTCGTAAACTTCCGTTATTAGCAAATTGCAATACAATTATAATATTCCCCATTATTGGATCTATTTTATTATAGTTTGATAAGATTGTTAAACTAATATGTGATTTAGGTTTTCAATATCATAACTTACATTCTGAAGCTCCATAGAATTTAATTACATTAGGATGCTCGACCGTATAAAGAGCTTTAAACTGTAATTATTTGAGTTTATATGCATAACAGAATTCAATGATTTTCGACATAAAAGCTTAATGCTGAACAATGAATGCACGTTACCTTCTGGATAATTTTTTTAAATTTGTTGTTATCCAAGGATAGGTTATTATTTAGACTTTTTAATGCATACGTTTCTCCTTTAATGTTAGCCAAGTATACAATTGAAAATTCACCACTTCCAATCCGTTTCTGGTCACTGAATAATGAGTAGTCAAATTCTTTTATATTAGATGTTTTAAGCTCATTCTTTAGTTCTTCCCATGCTAATATGATGTGATTTCATTAGGTATGATTAATCAAATTAACTTGTTATTTTTAACTAATTATCAGTGATGCCAAACCAACTTAATTCTGTGTTTTACGTTTCCTCCACCCCCATTTCCAACCACTTTCATAATGAACGAATTATTTGAATATTAATATGTTTTGGGATTATTACAAAAAATTGTTTCCTGCAATATAAAGCTTTCTTCCTTCCACTCTTTCCTTCTTCGTAAGTGAGAGAGGGGGTAATGTAAAACACATAATCAACTTGGTCTGGCCTAAAATAACATCATTCATAAAGAATACCCATTTTGATTATGTCGCTTAGCAGACTTTTAAAATGAATTTTATGCGATAGTTCTCTTCTGCTTCTTTATCTCTACACTCAAGATTGTGTCGTTTACAAATTATACAAGTAGCTGCTTCGAAGATATTAAGGTAACCGTATCGAATAATTAAATTCAAGGTGTTACTATGCAAGTTACATAAGAGTGAAATAGCGTTAAACATATAAATACGTGTATGCGAATTGTCATAATAGAAATTCAGTTTGATTGTCTATTTCTTTTATTTTAACTTTACCGTATTATGCCTCTAAAGGATTGAAGTAACCAGAACTAAAAACCCTAGGACCCTCGATATCAACCTGGGTAAATTATATCATTATAAAATCATTTTAACGTTACTTGATTTTATAAAATAATTTTATGAAAATAACTTCATTCATCGGAGGCAAAATCACCGCCTTATGTTTTAGGGTTAAGGGTGCAATTTTAAGACAATATTAGGGAATAAATGTTCATATTTTAATTAACATAAGGTTTTTTGGTTCTGAACATTTTTAGTACCACTGATGTGAGTTAGTAGTATGTGCCATCACCGGTGATTTTACCTCTGGCTAAAATTAGAAATCTCCAGAATTATATAGTACAGTACATAAGACATAAATTTAAATTTATAGATATCAAAATATAGCCAGGTTTTACTGGTTCGGGCTTGACCCTTAAACTTGACCTTATCTCATAATAACGCCCTGGGCGTTTAATTTGGTTTTTAATTATGATCAATATTAAATAGCACTATCAAAAATGAATCACAGGCAATGCTTTATTGCTATTATTTTTGTTTGTAAAATCAATACCGTAGCGAAGCTACAGGTATTCTATTAGTCATGCAATGTGAATGCATCGCTTACCTGAATGGCGTGATCGATATAACAAAATTGCGCATCATAAAATACTAAATTGTAAATTCACATGACATTTGATTTATACTTGAATAGTATACTTTAAAGAATAGTAACTTTGAAGAATAGCCTGATGATATAAACCTTTAAAATTATGCCTCAGATGGTTAGCACTTTACAATCGGTCGTGCAGAAATCATGATAGTATGCAAGTAAAAAAAAATAATTGTCAAACCAAAGTTACTTTTTTTACTATCTGCCCTTACCCTAAAACAGAAAAAAGAACAATACTAATGCTTGCCTCAATTCTAATCATTAAAAGGGTTAATCATAAAAATTGAATTTACAAGTCTATGTTACCTATATGTTCGAATATATTTTTTGTATGTATATAATACGAGTCAAATTGGTTTTGGGTCAAATTAATCAATTAAAAAAACCCCGGCCGGCATCAACATAATTATGGCCCGCACTAACCCTAAAATTCTGCTGGGGATCATTTTGACTCGGCCAAGTTTAACTCAAACTAAACTTGACTTGTAACATATATATATCCGTCCAAATCTGCATTGCCATACAATATTACTTTATTGAATACTGTACCTTATCGTTATTCTTAAAAAGTACGGTCAGACAAGCAATTGAAACTAGTGTCGTAATCTATTAGCATGTACATGCTAAAAATTGAAATGACGCAGCATAGTTTGAACATATGAACTCAATTACAAAAATTTCAATTTCATAATAAAAGATTGTACGTATTCAAATGTTACAATTTATGTACAATTCAACGTGCCAGAGGCACGGATCATATATTAGTTTTTATAAACAAAATTCAATCACTTAGTATTAGAGTAGGGTCAGTTTTAAAGGCAAAGAAAGGTGTTGTCTATGCAAAAATTTTGCAGGAAATCTTTTTTGTCGGTGAAATGAATATATCGGTGAATTAATTGTCGGTGAAGTGTTGTGTATATGAAATGAACCGGGTAAAATTCACCACCTAAATTTTTTTCAGATTACGCGATATGATTTATTAGTATCGTCATTCTAACTTAGAATAATGTAATGAACCGATGCTGTTTTAAAATCATATCGCATGATCTGAAACAAATTTGGGTGGATGCGTGTCGGTGAAATGAGCAGATCAAATCTGGTGATGTACTATAATTTCGTCAAAAGTTTTCTGAATTTTACAAAATTTATTTTTGCAAATGAATACATTTTTTGAGAGTTATTATAAAAATTTTAATTTGTCTTCGAAAGATGTAATTGATAAATTTAGCCAGTTTTGGCATTGCCCAAAATTGTATCAATTGTAGTTTAGGTAATAGTTTTGAAAACTTTTATTTTGCAGAAGTTGCAACATAAATTTTTATTGATCAAAGCAATTTTTAATTCCTTCAATGATCATAGAAGATGTTTCGCTTCTTCTAAGTTTTTATTTTCATCTGGATTTTATATTATTTAATTTGATGAATGGTTTTTTTTTTGATTGTAAAACCATTTTAAGCTTTTAGAAAAATCAGTATCACGCGTAAATCTATAAACTCACTAGTACAAATGTAATGACACTCGTTCTAAAGTTCATTGTCTACCGTTGATTTGATATTTATGAATTCTTAATTAATATGGTACTGGAAACCCTATACTAGACAATAAAATGGTATAATTTTAAAATACATCAACTTTTTATAGAAGCAATATTTTTAAGAGCTATTTGTCAAATTTGTAGTATTTTTTACGAAGAACTAAGTTACCTCAGATTTTTGAAATTTTGCTTTTATAAAAAGTTATAGTAATTATATAAAACAATAGTAATTTTTAAAACACATCAACTTTTTATACAGAAGGCTTTTCAAAAAAATATTCGGCAAATTTATAGAACCAATATTGCTCACAAAGTTACCGGTCAGTTTTTTGAAAAACCTCTTGTATAAAAAGTTATAGTGACATAGAAAATTGAAACAAATAGAGATAGGCTACTAGCACCATATGTTCAAAATTTTATGATTCTATAATAGTTTTCTCTTTGCGCTTCATTTACTGATATTCTTCATTTAAACGATTTATCTACTTTTAAATAAATTAGCAAAAATAATATATGCAATGACATTCTGACTCAAGACCCCGAAAGATCTCGTAACTTAAACTCTAATTTTTACGCCGTTGATTTCTATTTATTATAGTTATTTCGAAATAACATCTTTTTTTCTTAATGCCAAAAGTTAAAAGTTATTAAAAATTTTACGTAGGCTCTCAAAAATTCTGGTAACTAGTTTATATGTACCCATCTCTATGCATAGGTGACGCAACTTGATAAATTCAGACCTCTCTAAGTGCACCCTCTATTAATTCACACCCTCTCTAAATCCACGTTCAAATTCTGGCAAAACTATATATGTGACCTCTATAAATGCTCTTTTTCTTATTATTTTCTAAATGCACGTTGTTAAAGTGTGGTCTCAAGGGCATGCACTTAGGGAGGTTTGACAGTGATTAATTAATATTTTATTGAGGGAGCCAACCACACTAAAGAAGATCCTGCCATTTCATGTCTGGTATCCTGTGTAAAAAATCCACAGATTGTTTACCTCTATTCAAGTTGCCGATTACTATTAAAAGGATTTCTTATAAGCAATGCATATTTCATACACAGGTTACGTAGCATAAGTAGTAACATTAAAAAATCTTCTCTTGTAACGGTTGGTTTTGGAGAGCACACATAATGAAGCTCCAATCGTTACTAGAAGTTATGAGATTGAATGATAAAAGGGTTCTGTCGGGCATAGTAATTCTATTAAGGCGACTTAATGATGGTGTAAAATTATATTATTCCGATGCTACTTATGAAACGATCTCCTGTTTATTAAAATAAATGTATCACTTATTATAAATTTAGATCAATATGAAAGAGAAATTCTGGAACCTACTTTATGACATCAGAGGCTCCATGCTAGCGTGTTAGCCTTATGTCATTAATTCATTAAAGGGCTTTAACAATCATGATACTAATTTTGTTAGATTACACCAAGAAAGGTAAGATCATAAAATTATTGTTATACTGTACCAG